CTCATGGCAAGGCCCTTAGCAGCAGACTAAGGGAAACATGAGACTCATACCTTCGTAGTAGAACTGTTGAACCTTAAGTAGGTAACACTTTATTATAATAATGCATGTACCTACTGTTTATTATCATGTCTTCTAGCATGCTTATGTTTATGAGATTCACAATGCTGCTCTATATTAGCAATTATACTACTGAGTGTTGTAAGCTCAATGTTCGAAAGTTTCGATTCGTAGGTTAATAACATGAGTCATTTAAGGAGCACTATCACAACAAGACTTCCATCATTCATTCTAGAGTATTGTACTATTACTTTTAATGGGCATGTTATTGATAGGACCCTTATTATTGTATTCAGAATTATAAACTCTCAAATTATATTATTTTGGTTTAAACTATGTATCACAGAACTTCGATTTGTAGAAGTATTTTATCACGGTTATGGATGTCCTTTAATGAATTTATGATGTTTTTAAATGAAAATGAAAAAGGTTTTAAATTTCAATGGTTGCCCTGATAGCCTAATGTGACACTTTAGGCCCAATCAGATTTAGGGTGTTTCACATTGCTTATTGAATTGTCATGAATGATAAAGCTTTTTCAGTTGTTAAAGAAGAAGGTTTTAACTTGACGTTGAAGCAAGAAATCACATAAAGAAAAAATATTTCTCGTCATATTATAAGAATAGATTGAGAAGAAAAAGTTAAAGTAGTTATTAAAGAGTATAAATATAATTTCTTTGACCACTGATTTGAGGTGTTTAAGTCCTCGAAAGATTGAGTATATGATTTTTATCTCTCGCTTTATTGATTGTGATTAAAAACTTCAAAAGCGAATATTGAACTTAGTTCACATACCTCCTCCTTGAAAAAGTTCAAATATTTAAAAGAGTGGATATTGAGAATAAAGTTAACTATTTCATCCTTTAAGTTATGTTTGGATACTTTTTTAATATTGTATGAAATTTTATTCACTTATTATATTTATTTTTATTTTTCTGATTGGTTTTTATAATTTTTGTGGAAAATGCTAATACAAATGATGTTTGTAGAAATTTTGAAAGATACTTTTTTATTGATTAAGAGATTAATTTATGATGAAAAATTATTCCATATTTGTTGTTGTGCTCACATTTTAAATATTATGGTTCAACATGGATTGAAGAAAGTGAAAACAATAATCAAGAATATCCATAATATTGTTGAATATATCAATTTTAGTGAACATCAATTGAAAAGGTTTGCTGAACTTGTTGGGCAATTCAACATAAAGGATAGAAGATTGGTTCTTGAATGCAAGGTTAGGTGGAGTTCAACTTATGACATGCTAGCATATGAAATCAAGTTTAAAGAGGTATTTTCTAGATTTGCTTTAGATGATAAAAATTACGTTTATGAAAATAGAATTGAAGGTGTTTCACATCTTAGTAGAGAAAAAAATACTCCAACTTTATTTGATCTAATAAATAAAGTGGCCAGCAATGAAGTTGTGGCCAATGTTGAAAAAAATGAATTTCATTTACATCTTGAGGATGCATGTGTAATGTTTAAGGGTAAGGTGAGTGTTCAATTAAGTCGAGTCAAGTAAAATAACTTTCAAGTTATTCGAGTTGACGAGTCTTATTTTATAACTCGAAGTTGACTTAAAAAAATTTCGAGTCGATTCGAGTTTATAAAATTTGAGTCGAGTCAAGTTTTTGAGTTTCTATTTAAATTTAACTGTAAATATTTATAATATTATGATATTATTTGATTCCAATTTAACTGATTTTTATAACCATATACAATACAAATATATTTCTTCATGTTTTTTTCATATATGATATACATATATCATATAGAGTCAAATCATATAGTGTCAAGGGATTCGACTCATACTTGAAAATCAATCCACTAATTACTAAGAATTTTGAGTTATTTGAATTATACAATTTGTATTTTACAACTTGATTGGAACTTGAATTTTTTTGAGTAGTGTCGAGTTTATGAAATTGCAACTCGAAGTCAATTCGAGTTGAGTCGAGTCATAAAAATCGATTTTTTGATTTGAGTCGAGTTTTGCTTACCCCTAAATAGAGGTAACCATTTTGAATGTGGAAAGATTAATCTTTGAAGTTTCGTATTTTGTCAAGTTTGATTGTTGATGTTTTAGCAATTCCAATAACAACGATAGCTTATAAGGTTACATTTAGTGTATGGAATCGCATGATTGATTCTTATAGAACTTTATTATCTTCAGATATCGTGCAAATGTTGATTTGTAGTGGAGATTGGTGTTGGTCTCTCCATGAAATGAAGAGAAAGAACAAAGTAAGACTATTAAATATTAAGAATATTATTTCATTTAGTTCTATAATATTTATGACAAAGTAGGAATATTTATTTTAGTTGCTTACTATAAGATATTATAACTTTATTTTATTGACAAAATAATTATGTTGGTGAAGCAAATGAAAGTATTCTCCCAATTTTTTAGTTTAGTGATTGCAAGCAACAATGAGTGGAGCTAAGAGATGTTGATTTCCTTATTTTTAGAATTGATTATACATTGTTGATTTTTTTCTGAAGAATATTTTTTATACGTTAGTTTTGATTATTTGTAGATTTTTATTTTGGTTGTAATATGTTAGTTTGATGTATTTATGGATTGTTACTTTAGAGTTTAGATTTTAAAATTACTTCATACACTCTTTTGATAATTTTTTTTGTTAAATTTGTTAATTTATATTTATATTAAATTCTATATAGTATTAGTAGATTTTCCATATAGTAACAAGTAAAAATTCTGGTGAGTTTAAAGTACGAGTCAAGTAACAAGTTTTTTTAACGAGAACGAGTTGAACAAAATTTTAACAAACTTAATGAACAACAAGTCGAGCTGAGCAACAATTTCTTTAATGAGCATGAGTCAAGTACTATCGTGATCGACTCGCTCGATAAACACCCCTAGCAATCATCTTTACAACAAGCTTCGAATATGCCCCGACAACACTCTCACCAGAATTAATTACGTCAGTAGTGACAGATTCAAAAAAATTAATAAAAATATGTAATAAACTTAAGAAAATTTGGATTTTAGGGTAGGAACAATGAGTGGATCCACAACTATCAGTAGCTTCAGCTTGGGTTGACCTTGGAGACTTGATATATTCAAGCATTTGAGTAGCAGCAACAACTGCCTTACGTGCTAGACTACAATTGTATATCATCGTCTTCTGGGCTAGAAAGTTTTTCTTCACCAAAATATCTATTCCAAGATCACTACCTGCAACCATAAACGAATAATATATGAGTTTTGGAGAACATAATAGTTAGGAGAGTTGGTGGTGGTGAGATTTAAGAAAAATAGGAGAAGAAGGGGAATGAGATAAAAGAGGAGGAGGGTGGAGAGAAAGAGAAAGAGACAGAGTTGGTCGGATCTAGGGCCGGTCCAATGAGTTTTAATACCCTGGGCGAGATAATAATTTTATGCCCCTATACTTACCGTATAATAGACAAAACATAAATAATTTTTTTAAAACAAAAATGTAATAGAAATTATAGTCAAACAATATCAATACTAATACAAACCAAAACCTACAAGGCTACAAATATCACCTAAAACGATGTCTTCGTGCATTTTTTTTGAAGTAAAAACCTCTATTGGGCTACCTTTAGTGGTAAATATATACTCCTTCAAGGGGTATCAATGATCGAATCCAAGAAACATCCACTTCAAGGAGTATATATAAGTTCTCTACCAATCTTTAACAGATTCTTTTCCAGTTTAGCTTCATCAGCTTTCTACAAAATTAACCACAGTGTACATTATGCTTCTACATGTATTCTTTGTCTATGGCTTTTAATACTTAAATGTATGACCTATGATCAATCATTGATCCGATTTCTCGCTTAGAACAAAACCTTGCATAGTGATTGAAGTAAAAAAGTAATACATGAGCACGCCAGAGCATATATATTGTCTTATTGAAATAACATAGTACAAAGCAATTTAACATGCTATGAGATGAAAGAAGAAAGAAAGCAAAATGGGAGGCTAGAAGCTGTACAGGTTTATAAGTCGCACATTAAGAGCTTTGTATTCCTGAATGATTTCATCCTCATCAAGCAGCTCCTGCAGTGTAAAATTTGAAGCTCCAGCTGCTGATTGGAAGCCAGGGGGCGCTGCCGTACAAAAGGATTTGGAGAATCTTTCGAAGCAGTGGAAGAAAATAACTGTCTTCTATACTCATGAACCTTTAAGTTCTGGACAAGGCAATTTAATTGTCATCAATTGTCAAGGGAATGAAATCCAAACGAAATTACTACAACAAATAGTAGAAAAATGGATCAAATTAAATTGAGGAAACAGACTGAAAAACTCAGCCTTACCTTTGTTCGCATGGTGAGGACATCTTTAAACTCTTTTGTGGCGCTCATAAAGCGATTCTTCAAGTCATCTACTACTGTGGTAGAATGACTAGATGTGTCACTGGAGACACCACCTTCGTTTCTAGAATTGCAAAAAAGTTTTAAGGTCTACCACTGCAGAATTAAGGGCAGTAATATCCTGCTTGATAACTGCAGTGAGCTCCTGGATTTCCACAGTAGGGTCATCAAAAACTGAAGTCCTCTTGGCCACTGCAAAGTGAGCAAAATATAGGATTCTTTTTATCAGACTGAACGTATAACATCTGGGATCATAGTAACTATGATAAAAACATCGGCAACAATAAACTCGAAGTTGTATCTAGTCTGTTTGTCTTCTTCTATATCCGTCCTTGATGGATGTGCACATTGGATTCCATCAAGTTCAGATGCAACAGTGTACAATCTAAACCAAGACAACCAATATTGGAGTTGGATCATTCGCCACTTCAATTATTATGATCAAGTTCTAACAGTTGCTAATTCAATTCTTTTGATCAAGTATATTCCTCCAAAAAAAAAAAAATTTGTTCCATTGAAATTGTTTTAATTATCTAAGTTCATTGTTGTACATCCCATTCGTCCATCAAATTTATCACTCAAGTATTACTCTTTCTGTGGGTTTGATGGCCTCCAAGTGCCTGCTGAGATTTGAAAGTCTTGCTGCAAATCCTGCACTTGTATTTGTTCTTGCTCTGGGAATCATCAGACACCTCAGAATTCAGTGGAGTACTTGTTAACTTGTTAGAGTCATCTCCTCCTGGTCCCGAATAGCAAGCATTATCGTGGCATCTTTGCAAAAAGTAGATTTTGTGGATCCTAAACCAGTTAATTCCAATCCTTCCATGAAATCCTTCCCTGGTTCCACTTCAACAGACCCACCCCAAGTTCATTACTTCACTGGAAATTCTTCCCTTGATCTCAGTTCCACACAATTTGAATCCAGATTCACCGTTCTTTCCCTTCTCAGACAAAATCCCAGAATCCGATTCTTTACTTTCATTTATGTTCTTGTCACGGAAACCATCGATAGAACCCGAAGCGTATGAATCGAAGGCATCCCCATAACCATAAGGAGACTGCAAAATTTCTTTGTTTTGATCAAAAGATTTGATCTCGGAATCAATATTATCACAAGACTCCCAAAAACAATTGAATTGGGTCCAATCCTCTACACCCCTAGACAACATTATCAAACACAAAGCAGCATCTTCAACATCTTGATCAATTTCAACTAAACCAAAAGACTCATTTGGACCATTACTATCGCACCTCAATCTTTTCGATCTCTTTCTCTTCACTGTTATGCTCTTCAAAGGGTGCAACCTCATATGACTAGTGAGAGCCCTCAAAGACTTTAACTTTCTGCCACATTCTTGAAAGTTAACTTCTTTCCTTCCTTTTGCAGAATGATGCCTCATATGACCAAACAAAGCTTTCATCGACTCAAATTGTTTGGCGCAAGCTTTGCATTGGAACTCATCAAGGGTCGAGCTATCGGTGGCATTATCCTCACCATTAGACCCCAAAGACTTCCAAGATTTCTTAGGGTTATCCCTCAAATCATAACCTTGAAAACCCATATTATCCTCCTTTGCCTTTCTTTTACCAGACTTGTTTTCCATAGAAACGAGACACTTCGGATGACTTGTTCTTCAATGCATACCTGAAACCCAGAAAATAATCAGTAGATAAAAAAGAAGGTTCTTTTAGCGGAAAAAGGTGGAAAATCTTAGAGCTTAGACCAACTAAAGAAGAAACCCGTTGCTTGTTTCGTTAAACTGATGAAGATAACAGTGGGAAAAACGAGATCTAACTGGCTAAAGAAGCCTGAATCGACTCTTTTATCGTTTGAATTGAGGCATAACCAAGCAAGTAGAAGGTCAAACTAAAGTAATGAGAGGTTTGGGCTTTTAACAGTATTAAGCAAGTTTGCATCTTGAAATCTTTGTATGTCAAGCAAGTTACAAAAGCTAACAGTGTTTGAGCACTGCCCCATTCTCTTTTAAAGTACAAAATGGACTTCAACTTAGGGCATAAAAAAATGCATAATGTCAAAATTAGCTTCACAGTCTGTCAAAATGATTATTTCATTTCATATTCTATTTTTAAAGTATTTTGAAACCAACATTTCATTTTAGGATAAAAAGAATCATATTATTTAATAGAATAATAACTTAGTCTTTAAAATTTATATAGTTTATCAATTTAGTCTTAATTCAAATTATTTCGATAAATTTAACCATTCGTATTTAAAATTTTATCATTTTTGTGTTTGTTCTTCTTTTAAATTACTTTTCTAGTATAATAACAGTTTATAAATAACTTGTTTTATGACAAAACGTAATTATCCAACTATTATTTTGATATGATGGTTCGCTTGGTTTGATAATATCACAAAAATACTAAATTGATAAAAATTTTAAATATGAAGGGTTAAATTTATTGAATTATTTTGAATTAGGGAAAATGATAGAATGCATAAGCTTTGAGGACTAAAATATTATACTAGAGCACATTAGACATTTGCTTTAATTTTAACGACAAAATAGTTTTTTATAATAATATTTAATTGAATGATATGTGTAACTTTTAGAAAATAGTAACATGTTTGTTTTTTTACAACAATTATGTGACTTTGGCTATAATTTACCCTTGTTATTATTATTTTTTGATTAATCTGGGTTAAGTACAAGACAATATCTATTCAAAGATAACTCTAAATCATTTGACATTGAGCACTCACACCCCTAGCATTCATGGTGCTCAAACTTAGAACTTCAAAGAATAACTATAATTTATTTACCATCGAGATTACTTGATTCACACCCATTATTATTATTATTATTATTATTATTATATTTTAATAGAAGCCACTAGTCTTATTAAAAAATGAATATTCAAAATTACAATAAGATTTTACAACTATCATCGTAAACTAAATACATAATTTGGACATTTTACTAAAACATTGAAACTAATCACTTTAAATTATATAAGGACATACATGGAAAATATTAAAAACCTAAACAAAAGACTCGAACAAAAAATATATACAAGAAAATCTAAATGCATCGACAAATGAACCACAAAAGGGGATTAAGCTATTGAATTACCATCGAGAACCGCAAATCAGAGTCGAGTGTCATGAGAAACTATCCACGATCACAAAATCGCATATCCAAATTCAATCTGATGGTTCATAGCAAGGAAGATCAACTAGATTGTAAATAAGCATCATCTTAATCAATCGTGACATCGTCGAATCTAACCCTGGGAAAACATAAAATAAAAAAATGGCCAAACGATTGAAAAAGAAGACTAAAAGCGTGTCATAAAGGTATAGATAAACGTACAAAAAATGCATAATTATTCTTATAAAAAGTTAAAAAAACAAAGAGAGAAGAGAACCGACGGTCGACAATCAACATAAAAATCGGTGTCACATCTAGCTAAACAAAATCAAAGATAAAAAAGTTGATCTAATCTGTACAAAACGGGAAAGTCTCATGTGCGGCATCCTTAATATACAACTAAGGAAAGGCGCTATCGATTTTGCTATTATTTTTTAACAAAACTAGTAAAATGTTGAGTTAATCGATCGGATGAATCGACTAAGAGGTGGTGAATTGGAAATTAAAAATTTCGGTGGAAGCTTTTGCAGAAAATAGAAAATTTTTGCACAGTGATTTAGAGTGGTTCGACTTTCTCAACCAAAGTCTACGTCCACTACCTTAGCTATCCACACTAAGGATTTTCTACAAATTCACTAATTTGTCTTTCTTTTGAGGACAAAGAGTAACCTTACAATTCCCTTAAGAATTATACCCCAAATTCTTGAGAACACTCTCTCCCAAAGAGAAAATTACAAATTCGCAAACTTTACAGAAAAACCTCACAAGGTAGATTGTTTGCACAATTCTAGAACAAGGAAAGAATACTCAAATATGAATACAATTGAGCACAAAATGTGTTCTTGAAAGCAAAATGAATATTGAATGAAAATTGATTTGAATTTCACAAACCTGATGTTTGATGCTTTCTCTCTTGATGCTTTCTCCAAACTTGTTGATCAATGGCTTCAGAACTTGTTTAAATATATCTTGGATCAATTCTGAATGTTGGGGATCATTGGTGAAGTCAATAGAGCTGTTGTTGTATATTTTCCATTTAAAAAATATGTTGGGAGCGTAGGGGTATCAGTACACCTTCAAAGGGTATCGATACCTCCAGTGTAAAATTCAAATATTTCGACCGTTATTTGAACAAGTGTATCAGTACCTCCCAGGGGTATTAGTACCTCCCAGGGGTATCAGTACACCTATGACATTCGATGTTTCTCGGAGCCAATTTTGACATGAGGTGTATCGGTACATTCGGCTATGTATTAGTACCTTTATTACATTCAAAATTAAGGGATATCGGTACATTCGAAGATTGTATCGGTACCTCCCCACTTAAAACTAATTTTTGGCTCGATTAAGGTTCGAAATATTTTGTAAAAATTGTTTCAAAAATATTTTAAGATTGAAACACAATTTTACACTTGAGTAAGGAGTAAAATTGACATTTGAAAACTTGGAGTAATTTTTTTGATATTCGAATAATTTAATCAAATATATAATATAAAATTGAATATAAAATCTTAAAATTCATTAACACTTTATTTGTTATATCGAAACATCAAAATGTTTTCAACAATCTCCCCCTTTTTGATATAACAAAACATTTTAGTAATTTTAAGATTTTCTTTTTGAAAACCATTTTTGAAAAATTACTCCCCTTACTATATTATTCTCCCCCTTTTTGTTATATCAAAAAGACTATGAAAAACGTTTTAAACAAGTTATTTAGCTGCTAAGATCACAGTCAAGAGAAATGTTAGCCATTAGTCCATAATCAATATTCATAAACAATATGTAAATTGGGAATTGGTCATAATTTCTCTAAGATGTAAATGATGCATATTATAACATGAAAATTCAATTTAAGTTCAAATAACTAATAATCATTCAAACCAAAAACAAACAAATTCAAACACATCCAAGTTTAAATATTCAAACATCCATCAAAATCATTCAAAATGTTTTAACAATATTTTTAAGTTTATCTTCAACCTATGAAAACAAGCAAGAAAAGATTTAGTCATCCATCGGTGGGTCAAGAGGAGGAAAATAGGCTCTTATAGCAGCCATATCGAGTGTAAGTGCATTGAGCCTTTCGTCCATAGCATTGAATTGATGATCCATTGCTTCGCGGTTAGCTCGCATCTCCCGTTGATTCTCCAACTGTTGAGCCCCCATAGCAATTAAGTAGGACTCTTTGGATACAAACCTCATGTCAAATGTATCCATGAACGATAAAAAATATGGAGGCATCTGACTCTCTTGTTGGACCGGCTCGTCCTAAGCTAGGTTAATGGGATCATCAACATCTCGAAGAAGATCTTCAAGTTCTGGATCATCAGCAACCGGTGCCGGAATAGCTCGTGAAGAGCTAGCGCCCGATGTTTTTGTTGGTCAAACTTGGGTGCATCCATTGTTGAAATTTGGTGGTCAAAATTGGTGGAGCTGATTTTGTTGAATTTGGGTAAGGGAAAATTACCAAATTCAGTCTCTATAGTTTAGGGTATTTACAAGATTAGTCTTTAAGCTTCAACTATAAATACCTTAACCCATTTAGCTTCAAAAGCATCCCAAATCATTTATTTCTCCCAATACTAAAAAGTATAGAGAGTTTTCTTGTGAGTTGTTAGTGTTTTGTAAGCACCTGTAAATTTTCTCTTTAGTAAAATATTTGCAGCAGTCTGGAAACGTAGGCATAATTGGTCGAACTCCGTTATCAATTTTGGGTATTATTATTCCTCTTTTATTTCACATTCTCATTAATCTGGTTATAGGGAAATTACTCGTTTTATTTCCCAAAAACTGGTATAAGAGCTTTTGGTGGTAAATTATGTCAGTTTTTCTGTAAGGTTACTATTCATATGAATAGTGAATTTTGTGAATAGTAAAATTTTGTCGGCAATATGTGTTTGTCGATGGAGGTGTTCTAATACACGATGGTTCACAGGAATTGTCAGAAACGATCCAAAAGAAGCCAGATTCGAGTGGGAGCGATGGCTGCAGACGAAGGGAATGTGACAATTAAGAAGTCCGATAGTGCGAACTTTGGCTTTTGAAATATGCAGATTGAAGATTTTTTATACCAGAAAAAGCTATATCAACCTCTATCAGGAAAGCAACCAGAGGGCATGAAGGATGAAGACTGGGCTCTTCTCGACAGACAAGCCCTCAGAGTTATTCGACTGACGTTATCATGCAATATTGCTTTCAACATAACAAAGGAAAATATCACAACGGGTCTTATGGAAACTCTCTCCAGTATGTATGAGAAGCCATCGACCACAAACAAAGTTCACTTGATGAGGTGATTATTCAATTTGCTGATGGAGGAAGGGGCATCAGTGGCTCAACACCTAAATGAACTCAACACAATCACAACCCCAGTCGAGTTTCGTGGAAATTGAATTTAATGATGAAGTTCGAGCTTTAATTCTCTTATCATCTCTACCAGACAGTTAGAATGCTACTGTTACAGTAGTCAACAGTTTGTCGGGAAATAG